GTCAGAAAAGATGCTTGATATGATTTCAATTTTCTTAAATTTACTGAGGCTTGATTTGTGACCCAAGATGTGATCTATCCTGGAGAATGTTCCATGCACACTTGAGAAGAAAGTGTAATCTGCTGTTTTTGGATGGAATGTCCTATAAATATCAATTAAATCTATCTGGCCTATTGTGTCATTTAAAGCTTCTGTTTCCTTATTTATTTTCTGTTTGGATGATCTGTCCATTGGTGTAAGTGAGGTGTTAAAGTCCCCCACTATTATTGTGTTACTGTTGATTTCCTCTTTTATAGCTGTTAGCAGTTGCCTTATGTATTGAGATACTCCTATGTTGGGTGCATATATATTTATAATTGTTATATCTTCTTCTTGGATTGATCCCTTGATCATTATGTAGTGGTCTTCCTTGTTTCTTGCAACATTCTTTATTTTAAAGTCTATTTATATTTGATATGAGTATTGCTACTGCAGCTTTCTTTTGATTTCAATTTGCATGGAATATCGTTTTCCATCCCCTCACTTTCAGTCTGTATGTGTCCCTGGGTCTGAAGTGGGTCTCTTATAGACAGCATATATATGGGTCTTGTTTTTGTATCCATTCAGGAAACCTGTGTCTTTTGGTTGGAGCATTTAATCCATTCACGTTTAAGCTAATTATCGATATGTATGTTCCTATGACCATTTTCTTAATTGTTTTGGGTTTGTTTTTATAGGTCCTTTTCTTTGTGTTTCCCACTTAGAGAAGTTCCTTTAGCATTTGTCATAGAGCTGGTTTGGTGGTACTGCATTCTCTTAGCTTTTGCTTGTCTCTAAAGCTTTTGATTTCTCCATGTAATCTGAATGAGATCATTGCTGGGTAGAGTAATCTTGGTTGTAGGTTCTTTCTTTTCATCACTTTAAGTATATCATGCCACTCCCTTCTGGCTTGTAGAGTTTCTGCTGAGAGAGAAATCAGCTGTTAACCTTATGGGAGTTCCCTGTATGTTATTTGTTGTTTTTCCCTTGTTGCTTTTAATAATTTTTCTTTGTCTTTAATTTTTGCCAGTTTGATTACTATGTGTCTCAGCATGTTTCTCCTTGGGTTTATCCTGTATGGGACTTGCTGTGCTTCCTGGACTTGGGTGGCTATTTCCTTTCTCATGTTAGGGAAGTTTTCGACTATAATCTCTTCAAATATTTTCTCTGGTCCTTTCTCTCTCTTCTCCTTCTGGGACCCCTATAATGCAAATGTTGTTGCGTTTAATGTTGTCCCAGAGGTCTCTTAGGCTGTCTTCATTTCTTTTCATTCTTTTTTCTTTAGTCTGTTCGGCAGCAGTGAATTCTGCCATTCTGTTTTCCAGGTCACTTATCCGGTCTTCTGCCTCAGTTATTCTCTTATTGATTCCTTCTAGTGTAGTTTTCATTTCAGTTATTGTGTTGTTCATCTCTGTATGTTTGTTCTTTAATTCTTCTAGGTCTTTGATAAACATTTCTTGCATCTTCTCGATCTTTGCCTCTATTCTTTTTCTGAGGCCCTGGATCATCTTCACTATCATTATTCTGAATTCTTTTTCTGGAAGGTTGCCTATCTCTTCTTCATTTGTTTTTCTGGGGTTTTATCTTTTTCCTTCATCTGGTACATAGCCCTCTGCCTTTTCATCTTGTCTATCTTACTGTGAATGTGTTTTATGTTCCACAGGCTGCAGGATTGTAGTGCTTCTGCTGTCTGCCCTCTGATGGATGAGGCTATCTAAGAGGCTTGATGGGAGAGACTGATGGTGGGTAGAGCTGACTGTTGCTCTGGTGGGCGGAGCTCAGTAAAACTTTAATCCACTTGCCTGCTGATGGATAGGGCTGTGTTCCCTCCCTGTTGGTTGTTTGACCTGAGGCAAGCCAACACTGGAGCCTACCTGGGCTCTTTGTTGGGGCTTATGACAGACTTTGGGAGGGCTCACACCAAGGAGCACTTCCCAGAACTTCTGTTGCCAGTGTCCTTGTCCCAACAGTGAAACAGAGCCACCCCCTGCCTCTGCAGGGGACCCTCAAACACTAACAGGTAGGTCTGGTTTAGTCTCCCTTGGGGTCACTGCTCCTTCCCCTGGGTCCCGATGCTCACACTACTTTGTGTGTGCCCTCCAATAGTGGAGTCTCTGTTTCCCCCAGTCCTGTCAAAGTCCTGCAATCAATTCCCACTAGGCTTCAAAGTCTGATGCTCTAGGAATTCCTCCTCCCATTGCCGGACCCCCAGGTTGGGAAGCCTGACGTGGGGCTCAGAACCTTCACTGTAGTGGGTGGACTTCTGTGGTATAAGTGTTCGCAAGTCTGTGAGTCACCCACCCACCAGTTACGGGATTTGATTTTACTGTGATTGCACCCCTCCTACCGTCTCATTGTGGCTTCTCCTTTGTCTTTGGATGTGCGGTATCTTTTTTGGTGAGTTCCAGCGTCTTCCTGTTGACAACTGTCCAGTAGCTAGTTGTGATTCTGGTGCTCTCGCAAGAGGGAGTGAGAGCACGTCCTTCTACTCCTCCATCTTGGTTCCTCCTCTGCCTCTTTGTTTTAACATTACTGTCCTGTTCATCAAAATCATGAAGTATGTATGCATATGTATATATGTATACATATACACATATAGTTATACATATATGTGTGTATGGGCACTTAGTAAGGGCACTTAGTTTCCTAACGCTCAAATTGTCCCAGCTCTCTGGAACTAACATATTCCAGGCTCATCAGAAGTAATCAGTTATTTCTCCAAAGAGCCCTGGATCCTTTCAGTGGAGAATAATATTCAGAAGCCATGATCTGGGATCTAGGTGTGTTCATTGCTATGGGGGCACTGGTAATCTCAGACCTTCTTAGTAAACAAAGCTAGGGATTACATGTATAAAAACATAAACACATATCCTTACACATATTTACATCTTATTAATTTCTATATCTAATACTGCCTCTTCGAATCCAACACCTTAGTGACTATTCTAGCTCTCTCCATTTCCATGTTTGCAATTCCCTTCTTCAACAGAAGAATCTGCTCCCATCATCTTAAATATATTTTCATGTTTGATAAATCCGTGCTTATGTAACCAATCTCCCATTATCATCTTTCCCTTGTCCCTGGTGTGGATGTCCTCCTTAGTCTATGCCAGATAGCTCTGCTTTGTGGTTCCTGCCACACTCTGACACCCTATGCTAGGGACTAACCCTCACCCTCAAGTACCATCCAGTGATTTAAAGTTTTCTGACATATTTATTAGTCCTAGAATATCCATTTGGTTTGAAAATTCTTGTGTGCTAGTAATCTACAAGTCTATTTTTTGACTGCTTACTCTTGATAATGGGTCCAGTTCCTCCCCTCTTCATGTCTTATAATTTAAAAAAATGTATTCTGTATTATGCATATAAGAACAGTGAAAAGTGTAATTTGTGTCTGTTCAGAAATGGCATGCCTTTCATTCTAGGTGGTTTAGGTGAGGGACTTACCCTTCCGAATCTCCCACAGGTTTACCTGAGCCAGAGCTGGGCAGAAGCTTTAATCAGATTCAGTTCACCTTCAGTTAGCCCAGTCCCTAACTTCCCATGCCTTATCTGCCAAGATACTGAGTGATTTGATCTTTTTAGTGTTTTAACTGGAATAAGTCTGTTTTACATAGTTCAGATTCGTATTTGATTCCAACCCTGGCAATTAAGTGTGATGTGCAAAGCTGCATGAATTTCTTCATTTATGAGGCTCTCCTCCACTGCCACTTTCTTGGCAAAATTCCAGGGAAAGGGGGCAGAATTGTTGGGTCAAGTGCTTACTGCCCTTGCAGACCCATCTCACCAGCCCACAATGCTGTCAAAAGTTTGCCTGGTTTCCTCTTTCCTGCAAAATCTCCCAGTCCATGGCAGCTCCGATTCTAACATACTAGCTAGCACTCAGGGCAGGCATTTGCCCCAGGTATAGAAGCTGCTGCAGTCTCTGCTTATTTATGAAGAATTTATTGCTCTCTGGGATTTATTTCACCTAGATTTGTTTGTATGTACTATTCTGCAGCAGCTCCAATAAAGAGTATGTTTATTTTAACCTGGAATTTTTCTAATGTTTCCACTGGATCAAAGTTCTTTTGTATTTTATATACAAACCAGAAGTAAAAGTCAATTGCACCGTTTTTTGTTTTTTTTTTTTGCGGTACGCGGGCCTCACTGTTGTGGCCTCTCCCGTTGCGGAGCACAGGCTCCGGACGCGCAGGCTCAGCGGCCATGGCTCACGGGCCCAGCCGCTCCGTGGCATGTGGGATCTTCCTGGACCGGGGCACGAACCCGTGTCCCCTGCATCGGCAGGCGGACTCTCAACCACTGCGCCACCAGGGAAGCCCTCACCATTTTTTTTTAATGAAACTTACTTTGGCTTTGAGTTCAAGATAGTGAACACATGCCTCTATATCTTCTCCTCCAGTTTAAAGGAATAAACAAGTGACTGTACCATCAAGATGTAGGGAATGGGGGGATCTATTATCAGACCAGAGATTTCAGCACACATTCAAAGACAAAATGGATAAAAGAGTATGAACTGGGTGGCAGAGAAAAGCAAGCACTAGCCTAGCAGCCTCCCAGAATATGCTTCTGGGGCGGTGTGTCTGAGCAGTCCAGTACAACCCCAGAAAGGCTCTAGCATCAGAGACTGCTAGAAAATTAAGGAAGGAGCTGAGAAGTGGGGCTGATATTAGTACAATTAATAATTGAAGGTCTTTATATTGACCAATTGTCCCTCTTCCCTATGCTTACATGCTTATAGGCAGGTGTCTACCCCCTTGACAAAATACACAAACAGTTCTCTAAAGGGTATGTAGGTATACATACCCGAGTAAAACCTTCCTTTTCTTGGTATGTGGGAGTCCCCACAACATAAAATCTGGTTTAGAGCTGAGTTTGAGACCCAACTTCTTATCCATAGATGTGTCATGTGGGGAAAGTTACTTAAGTTCATTGACTCAGTTTCCTCATTCATAAAATAAAAGTACATCCATCACAAAAGGTGGTTGTGAGGGTTTAATGAAATCATGTATACAGAAGTGGTTAGCACAGTGCCTAGAACATAAAAAAACATTCAACAGATGATAGCCATTGTCACTTTTATTGTTATTGATGAATTAGTTTTATGTAGAAAGGAGGAAAGGAATCCAAAGGTTAGGTTTTGGAAAGAGTAGTATCTCTTCTAATTAGATAGCAGAGAAATAGGTCAGAATGAGTATGAATGCATGGAGATGTAGATTACAAATCAAAATCCTCACCCCACTTTCCTTACCAATACCTAGTTGTGTAGAACAAGAAATCAATATGTATAAGGACTCCAAAGAACCTAGAAATATCTATTATAAAACTGCATTAAAACAGTACCCACCTGAAGTTCCATATATATTCAAACAAAATTATTTTTTTAGCGAAAATTCATCGTGCTATTTGTGTTTCCAGGACATAAGACAAAGGATTTTTTTTTCTTTTTAATATAGAGTATCATTAACGTCCAAAATTGTGTCCAAAGAATCTTCAGTGTTCTGCAGTAAGGAGAACAAAGGACCTAGTGCAATATTAAAATTGCTTTGAAGTCTTGTGATTTACACTAAAAATTAATGCAAATATTGCTCAGTACATTGGTATGTTTTAATATAAAAATATTTTTACTTCACATGGAGTAAATATTGCTGATCTAGGGAGATATGCCATATTTCTCACTGACCCTGCCACACTGATTTAAGATAGATCAAGATTTTTAGGTCCAAACCAAACAGTAACAACAGAATTTTACTAAACTTGTCTACTTACTCTACTTATTTTAAGTTGATACTTAAAAAAAAAATACTGAGGTCATCACACAAGATGATTGGCCAATTTGACTTTTAAATCAATCAAAAGGGTTTTTACATATTAATATTGAAGAAACCTTAGTGATTAGCCTACAGATTTCAATTTTGAATCATCTTTGGTCTAAGTAATATTTCCTAAAAAACATAAATGTGAATTACTTTATCAAAATAGTTGCTCAGAACAATTGTTGCTTAAATTTCATTGTATCATACTGTACACCTATGTGTTGCAACTAGTGAGGATACTCCAAAGCTGATATAATTTTAGTTTCCCTAACTTGTCCTGAACCTGCTTATGTTCACAGGCCCATTTTTTCTGATTTTACAGTCTAGTTGTCAGTGACAGGCACAGCCGAATTCTTTCTTTGTTCATCTGTCAGACTTTCTTTTAATAATTTCCATTTGTGATAAATCTCCAACCTGTCTATATGTTTCTAATGGGAAATCAATGAAAGATTCAACCTTAATCATATTGGAGACATGAGGAAAAGGGACTCAACCCACAAAAAGCCACTTTTTGGTGATTGATATCAGCTATGTTTTCATTCAAACAAAGTTTTTCCTTCCCTAATCTTGATCCTATGGCTCTTTAACTACAAATGTGATATTAGTTTTCCTTTCACTGATTCTGTAACTGTCTTTGGTAATTATTAATTTAATGAGGATCTTGAAATAATATCCACTTAAGGTAAAACTGTCAAGAAAATGTAATAATTTACAATCAAGTTATTCCAATTTCTCATTAGGAGTCTAAATTCATTCACTCAGTCAAAAATATTTTTTAAATAATAAGAATTACAGGCAAGGCACTCTTCTGGGTAATTGTGTACCAGAAATACCAAGATGTGCAAGCCTCTGCCTGAAAAGAGATGACAGTCTAGTTACTTCCCAACAGAGGAGATGTTCAAAAGTACTGACAGATCTAACTCCTTTGAGCACTTACTATCAAATATACTTAATCACATGCTTAAAATTAAGCCATTTTCTTTTGGCATACATAATATTAACTATCACATCACCTGTGGAAAGGTAATGTAGAACATTATTTTGAAAGAGGCTATGCTCTAAATGTGAAAGGATACCTATAAAAAATGCAGTATCCAAAACAGCAAATATATTCAAGCCAAAATTTACAAACAAAATGTACAGTTACAAATAGACTTTAGTGAAGATTTTACTCCAAAAAAATTCTACCCACTAATGCATTAAATATAAATGCATTTGAATTAGCAATGTAACTTTTAAAAAGTATGTAATTTATGAAAAGTGTTCATAAAAATGGTTTTCTGAAAAAGGTCTTGTCTATAGAATTTCATATTTATTAAGAAGAGTGAGATAGAAAGCTATGCAAAGATAAATCCAAATATCCCAAGAGTTTAGTCAGAGCAAATTAAACTTTTGAATGAAATAATAGCATAACTAAAAAATTATGAGAAAAAGAACTTGACTCCTTAATTTATCACATAACAGTGTATACATTTGAAAAAGATGTTTTTAGAGGGGAGTCTTTTATGGTTTTAGCAAGGTATCATAAAAGGAAACAAATTAAGTCAACATTATGTTGAAAAACATCTCCATGTTATCTCTTTTTAGTGGAATGGTGAAATTTTGCCCTAACATAAATTCTATCACTTCAAGTAACTCCTTCCTAAACATGATATATAAAATGGAAGCCATAAGAAAATTAGTCTCATTGTCAGGTCTGTTTTTTAATCTTTAGGTAAAAATAACCAATCAATTTAGCCTTCCTGTAATATTCCTTCTCCATACTATCATTTTTCATACTTGAATGTTTTTAAATAGGCATCTTTAATTTAGGATGCCATCTCCTAAGAGTCATTTATAGTGTCTTATTTGTATGGGTAGGAGAATTCATCAAACTTAATAAATAGGCTCAAGTCACATTTTTAGCCCAGACCTTTTTTGGTTGTACTTTATAGAAAATATTTATCAAAATATTAGCTTTGTGGCTGTAAAAATGTCTGCTACCTTTTGAATGTGATTTTTAGTAAAATCTTAGTATCACTTTATAAAGAATGCAGGATATACTTTTACGTTTGGCTTTCTCAGAGTAAAGAGATACACTTTAGTTAAAGCTAGTTGGCTTAATACTGGCTCAGAATTTAAAAGATGATTTTACTTAACGTTAATTAAACTGTTTTTTAGCTGTAAGCTCATAATTTTAACACTTGGCTTGTCTGCTACACTATTTTTGAATAGTAATGAAACACTATATACTATTTCATTTGGATGATGTTTATATAAATATGTAACCAAATATTGGAAAATTTTAAATCAACCTGCTACTAACCATGAGCTCTAATACTTGGACATTTTTTATGACTCTCTCTCTTAATACACTAAAACATTCAATAACTGTTATTTGCACATTATGTGAAAAATTAATTTTTTGACAAAATTTTATTCAGAACATTAGGAAAATCATACTCAAAACGCAGAAATAATCAGACTCTATATAACAACGCTGCATAGATAGTGGTATACAAGTTCCCTGACGCTAAGTGACTTCTTCCTAACTAAAACTTCAAGTCACCAGGTAGAAGATGGTAGAGGCATTATTTACTCTCTCTGAGGCTGGAAAAAACGGCTTTAATGGTGAGACGTCACACCATTTAAACAACAAAGATTAGATTATCCCCCAATTTAATTCTATTCCCTTCTTGTTATTTCTCAGAGATGAAAACTTAGAATGTAAGGATTATTGGAAGGGAACAGGAGGTAAATTACCTCTTAGGAGATACCCTGATCCATGCCTGCTTTAATCCGAGAAAACACTGAATTAAGTTTTAAAAATTACAACCACACCATTATGCTTAAGTAAAATTGCCAATATGAATACTTTTTTACATAATACATTATATGTATACATGAAGAAAAATCACCTGTTTCCAATCCTTTGACCTTCAGTAGAAAGAAGTGTTACCACTAATGGGGATCTGAAAAATAGTTTTCATGACAGAGCATTAACTCTATAAAGATCAAAATCATTTCTCAGTACTGAAAATAGCCTAAATCAATGACAAATGGCTAAATTTCTTAAGATTACTTTTTGAAAGGGAAGACAATTTATTTGGAAGGAATTTGCAGCTGGAAACATTGTTCATTAAGAAAACACTGTTACCCTGAGAAAGACCCTTAAAACTGCCAGTGCTTTCATAGGCCCCTAACACTGCATGAAGGAGCAATTTGTAGGCTCTAGCTTCTTACAGTTACCTATATGAAGAATGTCTTGACCTAAACAGTGATTTGGGCTTCTCTGTGATACCGATAACAGGTCATAGCCAAGTAACTAAACGTGATGGACTATAAGCAAATTTTGCATTCATTTTAAGCAGACTTCTTCCTTTTCCCTTTTCTGAGAGAGAGCTTGTAATTCTTCAAATGGCCTTGAACTCAAACCTACCGTTCACAAAAATTAATCTTCTGTAAGCAAATTGGTAGTTTTCTTATAATAGTAAACAATTTGTCTGGTTTACATTCTTTAATCTATGCCTAGAAAATAAGGCATTAGTGATTCTTCATTGGCCACTGCAGAGCAGAGTGTCTTCTTTCTAATCAGAGGCATATGCAAACATTCCTCAAAGTGCATTGTTATTATTTTTAACATCTCTTATGCATTTACAAAGTCAACATTTGTGACTCCCTACATATTTTTAGTATAAAATAGTGCTTATTCCCAACACCTTACATATACCATAATTACTGGAGAAAAGACAAAATGAGAGCAGCTACAGAAGTAACAAGATATTTTTTACAAATAAAAATACAATATGCAAAAAATGGCAAGTTAGTGATAACTGGTAGAATGAACTCCCAACAATATTCCACTTTGGGTTCCAAATTAAGATTTGACAAGTTTGAAGCCTTGTCCTGTGTCCAGCACGGTAGGAAGAAACCAATTCATTTTTAATCTTTTCAAGCACCTAAAACAAGTTTTGCAGATCCAAAAAAGGTTCAGACCACACAACCAATTTGCCAAATGCACTAGTGGATATGTAATACGAGGAAAGTACAACATCCAGTGCTTGGCCACATCGCTTCCCGTTGGCAAATGCAGAGTGTAGTCACTCCACCGTTTTGACACGCCATACACTGCTTTCACTGTGCGTCCCTTTTCAGTCCAGCAGATGTTATTAGTGGAGTTGCAGTTATATTCTACCCAGTCTTTTGTAAAGTCACCCAGCTGCGGTGGGTCAGCTTCTTCAATATCTATTGTTTTTGTCATCTCTGCTCCTTGCACTGCAATATACTGGTCATTGACTTTTCTCACTTCTTTCACCCAGGGGGTTGAATTCTCACTGTCTAATATGATAATAAGTCGGGAACAGAAGGAACCATTCTTTTCTCGCCACCATTCTAAAAGTGTGTCAAGGCGTAGTATGTCTCCACCTGTGAACAACAGAAAGTTCAGTAGAGCAAGAATTTCTGAAGTGTCTTACTAAGAATACTCTTTTGTCTTAAGTATATTTTCTTTAAGTTCTTAAAATATGTAAGAAAAATAAAAGGGAGCCGTTTTTTCAAAGTATCTCTTTCAGAAGAATTTTTAAAAACAAAAAACAGACTTTCAGCTTCAGGTAAAAAAATCAAACCAAAAAAAAAACCCAAAACACCCCCAATCCCCCAATCATCCTGTTATTCACATTAAAGGGGTATGCTATGATAAAATAAGAAAATTATTTTATAAAGTTCAATTTAGTGAAAAAAATTAAAATTATACAGCAAAGCAAATATTCTACATCAAGGGCAGCAAATTATGGCTCGTGGTCAAATCCAGCCTGCCACTTGTTTTGCATAGCCTGAGATCTAAGAACTGATTTTACATTTTTAAATGGTAAAAAAAATTTTTTTAAAGAGAAGTTTGTGACACGTAAAAATTATAGGAAATTTATATTTCATATTTCTATAAATAACATTTATATTCTGTCTATGGCTGCTTTTATACTACAATGGTAGAGCTAAGTAGTTGCAACAGGGACTTTATGGCCTACCAAGCCAAAAATATCTGGTCCTTACAGAAAATATTGGCTGACCCCGTTCTACACTTCTAATGAATTAACTTATCTCCTCATATGTAGTTACCTACGAGATGAAAAACACCCTTCCTACCAGTAACAAGAATGAATTTGGAATGGGTTTATTTTTAAATCAGTTTTATACCTGAACAACAATAAAGGATTAAAAAAACATATACCAGAAAGGTCTAAAGTAAATATATTTCTGACTTAAAAATATATCTTACAGCTAGTATTTACATGTGGTTCATTATGGATGGTTTTTTTTTTTTGCATTAACTTTTGATTTTTAAATATATTGCATTAAAATGTTATCGTCATCATTTAATTTTTAGCACCCTCTTAAATTCTGTGCCCCAAGCAACTGCCATGCTCACCTCACCCTAGTCCTGGCTCTGTCTCAAATGGTATTCTAATCCAGTCATTCCAATTCTAGGAATTTACCCTAAGGAAAGGGTAGAAATGCAGACAAAAAAATACATATAAAGCTCATCTTCCCACTGCTATCTAAGATAGTGTAAAATCTGAAACTACTGGGGGAACGGATATAAATTATGGTATAACCTTATGAGAAGAGGTTTATAATAAATGATATTTATAAAGAAATTTTAATGACAAAAATATCTGTGATATTAGAAAAAGCATGACAGAGAAGTGTATCTACAAAAATAACAGCAGTAGTTATTTCCGGGTATTTGGATTTCAGGTGGTGTTTGTTATACTTCTTTATGTGATCCAAAATTTTTATGTTGAATATATGTTACTTTTATAATTAGAAAAAGTTTTAACATGCTACAATTTACTAATACAAGTTCCAACAACCTAACTTCAGAATATGTATTTTTAACAAGAGCAACCATGCTCTTTGCTAAACTATCAAAATGACAATACTGAAGAGATAGAGAATCCTTTAGAATTTGGATTCTATTAATAATATGACCTATAAAGTCAGGGTATATGACATTCTTTATGAATAATTAATATTCTTTTATTCATCAGCCTGCTGTATCTTAGACTGTGACAATGAAAAATTTGTTTCATGAACTGCTCTTACACTCATACCTATCAATCATCTCAGAGACACTATTTTTCACATATTACTAACATATCTTTTTTTTTTTTTTTTTGCGGTACACGGGCCTCTCACTGTTGTGGCCTGTCCCGTTGCGGAACACAGGCTCTGGACGCACAGGCTCAGTGGCCATGGCTCACGGGCCTAGCCGCTTTGCGGCATGTGGGATCTTCCCAGACCGGGGCATGAACCCGTGTCCCCTGCATCAGCAGGCGGACTCTCAACCACTGCGCCACCAGGGAAGCCCCAGGAGATACCTTTTTAAATATGATCAAGCTCACTTTTCTTTATGGCCAGTTTTATTAAACGTCTCTGGAGATGACAGGACAACACAGATTACAAGAGGAGTTATACAAATTCCATCTGCCACAAAAAATCATTGTTCTAACTTGCCTGCATCATCGTTCTAACTTGCCTTCTACAACTATTTCAATAAATATTCTTCAGCACACTCTACACTAATTCTCTTATAAACACACTCTTTAGATATCAGCAAGAAATTTAAAGCAGTATTAAAGCCCTTTATACTATTTCTCTTCTCTTGTTTTGTTTTGCTCTGCTTTCTCCTATGAACGGTTTCTATGTTGCATTTGGCTTTTGGTCCAGATGCAAAATATTTACATTTATCTCAGATAACAGCCATCTGATTCAAGTAATCTAATTCAAGCCAACAGTTCAAGTAATTGAGACTGCTTTTTAAAGACTTTGTTTACCTGTGATAAACTGCTTTATAGGTTTTCTACATTTTTTTATGTATTTCTGTCTCTCTTGTCATTACCATAATTGTTTTTTACCCTCAAACAGGCAAAAATATCAGGTTCTACACTATGGAGCCCCATAAATGTAAGAAGACTACATATTCTAAGAAGTACTAACAGTAAAGGTATGGGATAAAGATTCTCTTTCTCACAGTGATTTTTGGACCTACTCTTAACTTGCTGAAGTAAAATCGAGTCGTGACGTTTCCTATTGAGACGTTTCTAGAAAAATACCTATTGATAAAGCTCAGTGCTTAGAGTTCTTTGTCACTTGGCCTGGAATGAATTAAAGCATTTTCTTCAGGGCAGGGGTGTTCAATACTACTTCTGAGATAGAATCAACCTTTGAGGGTTGTTTCAGGCAGGCCAAGGCCAGGAACTGACTGAAAAGAGGACTCATCCACTGAGCCAGGTGCCTCAGGCCGTGGGGGAGTATACAGTTGCTGAATTATTATGGGACAAAAACCTAGCCTTCATGGGAAAGGGAAGGCCTGTCAAGCTATGCTTTCTCCATTTTTTTTTTTCCTATTTTTACAACAAAGACTCTCACAAAGAAAGTTACACATACACGAACAGATCTTCTGGCCTAATAGAAGAATTCTATAATGGTTAACTTATTGACATACTTAAAAAAATATTATAAAGATAAAACACTGCAGAATGTAACTGCTAGACATTTGCCTAAAATATTACCCTGCTTTAGAGTTTGTGTTCATAAATTATTCCTTATTCATAGTGAATGAAAATTTAAGAACACTTTTATGCTATTTATCTTGGTGTCTATTACATTTCCTAAGAAATGAAAAAGATAGATAATATAAATATCAGTAAACTGAGAAGCAAGAAGTACTACAATTCTGCAGCCTGTGGAACAAAAACCACATTCACAGAATGACAAGATGAAAAGGCAGAGGGCTATGTACCAGATGAAGGAACAAGATAAAACCCCAGAAAAACAACTAAATGAAGTGGAGATAGGCAACCTTCCAGAAAAAGAATTCAGAATAATGACAGTAAAGATGATCCAGGACCTCGGAAAAAGAATGGAGGCAAAGATCGAGAAGATGCAAGAAATGTTTAACAAAGACCTAGAAGAATTAAAGAACAAACAGAGATGAACAACACAATAACTGAAATGAAAACTACACTAGAAGGAATCAATAGCAGAATAACTGAGGCAGAAGAACGGATATATGACCCGGAAGACAGAATGGTGAAATTCACTGCTGCGGAACAGAATAAAGAAAAAAGAATGAAAAGAAATGAAGACATCCTAAGAGACCTCTGAGGCAACATTAAATGCAACAACATTTGCATTATCGGGGTCCCAGAAGGAGAGAGAGAAAGGACCCGAGAAAATATATGAAGAGATTATGGTCGAAAACTTCCCTAACATGGGAAAGGAAATAGCCACCCAAGTCCAGGAAGCGCAGAGCGTCCCATACAGGATAAACCCAAGGAGAAACATGCCGAGACACACAGTAATCAAACTGGCAAAAATTAAAGATAAAGAAAAATTATTGACAGCAGCAAGGGAAAAACGAGAAATAACATACAAGGGAACTCCCATAAGGTTAACAGCTGATTTCTCAGCAGAAACCCTACAAGCCAGAAGGGAGTGGCATGATATACTTAAAGTGATGAAAGGGAAGAACCTACAACCAAGATTACTCTACCCAGCAAGGATCTCATTCAGATTCAATGGATAAATTAAAGGCTTTACAGACAAGCAAATGCTAAGAGAATTCAGCACCACCAAACCAGCTCTACAACAAATGCTAAAGGAACTTCTCTAGGCAGGAAACACAAGAGAAGGAAAAGACCTATAAAAACAAACCCCCCCAAATTAAGAAAGTGGTAATAGGAACATACATATCAATAATTATCTTAAATGTAAATGGATTAGATGCTCCAACCAAAAGACACAGACTGGATGAATGGATACAAAAACAAGACCCATATATATATGCTGTCTACAACAGACCCACTTCAGACTTAGGGACACATACAGACTGAAAGTGACGGGATGGAAAAAGGTAGTCCATGCAAATAGAAATCAAAAGAAAGCTGTAGTAGCAATTCTCATATCAGATAAAATTGACTTTAAAATAAAGATTATTACAAGAGACAACGAAGGACACTACACAATGATCAAGGGATCAATCCAAGAAGAAGATGTAACAACTGTAAATATTTACGCACCCAACGTAGGAGCACCTCAATACATAAGGCAACTGCTAACGGCTATAAAAGAGGAAATAGACAGTAACACAATAATAGTGGGGAACTTTAACACCTCACTTACACCAATGGACAGATCATCCAAACAGAAAATTAATAAGGAAACAAGCTTTAAATGACACAATAGACCAGAAAGATTTATTGATATTTATAGGACATTCCATCCCAAAACAGCAGATTACACTTTCTTCTCAAGTGCGCACAGAACATTCCCCAGGATAGATCACATCTTGGGTCACAAATCAAACCTCAGTAAATTTAAGAAAACTGAAATATCAAGCTTCTTTTCTGACCACAACACTATGAGATTAGGAATGAATTACAGGGGAAAAAACACGAACATATGGAGGCTAAACAATGTGTTACTAAATAACCAAGATATCACTGAAGAAATCAAAGAGGAAACTAAAAAATACCTAGAGACAAATGACAACACGACGATCCAAAACCTTTTGGATGCAGCAAAAACAGTTCTAAGAGGGAAGTTTATAGCTATACAAGCCTACCTCAAGAAACAAGAAAAATCTCAAACAATCTAACCTTACATCTAAAGGAACTAGAGAAAGAAGAACAAACAAAACCCAAAGTTAGCAGAAGGAAAGCAATCATAAAGATCAGAGCAGAAATAAATGAAATAGAAACAAAGAAAACAATAGCAAAGATCAATACAACTAAAAGCTGGTTCTTTGAGAAGATAAGCAAAATTGATAAGCCATTAGCCATCAAGAAAAAGAGGGAGAAGACTCAAATCAATAAAATTAGAAACGAAAAAGGAGAAGTGACAACAAACACCGCAGAAATACAAAGCATCGTAAGAGACTACTTCTAGCAACACTATGCCAATAAAACGGACAACCTGGAAGAAATGGACAAATTCTTAGAAAGGTATAACCTTCCAAGACTGAACCAGGAAGAAATAGAAGATATGAACAGACCAATCACAAGTAATGAAATTGAAACTGTGATTAAAAATCTTCCAACAAGCAAAAGTCCAGGACCAGATGGCTTCACAGGTGAATTCTATCACATATTTAGAGAAGAGCTAACACCCATCCTTCTCAGACACTTCCAAAACATTGCAGAGGAAGGAAAACTACCAAACTTGTTCTATGAGGCCACCATCACCCTGATACCAAAACCAGACAAAGATACTACAAAAAAAGAAAATTACTGACCAATATCACTGATGAATACAGATGCAAAAATCCTCAACAAAATACTAGCAAACAGAATCCAACAACACATTAAAAGGATCATACACCATGCATGATCAAGTGGGATTTATCCCAGAGATGCAAGGATTCTTTAATATATGCAAATCAATGTGATACACCATATTAACAAATTGCAGAATAAAAACCATATGATCATCTCAATAGATGCAGAAAAAGCTTTTGACAAAATTCAACACCCACTTATGATAAAAACTCTCCAGAAAGTGGGCACAGAGGGAACTTACCTCAACATAATAAAGGCCATATATCATAAAGCAAACCATTCTCAATGGTGAAAAACTGCAGTTCCTCTAAGATCAGGAACAAGACAAGGATGTCCACTCTTACCACTATTATTCAACATAGTTTTGGAAGTCCTAGCCACGGCAATCAGAGAAGAAAAAGAAATAAAAGGAATACAAATTGGAAAAGAAGTAAAACTGTTACTGTTTGCAGATGACATGATACTACTATACATAGAGAATCCTAAAGATGGCACCAGAAAACTACTAGAGCTAATCCATGAATCTGGTAAAGCTGCAGGATACAAAATTAATGCACAGAAATCTCTTGCATTCCTGTACACTAATGATGAAAAATCTGAAAGAAATTAAGGAAACATCCCCATTTACCACTGCAACAAAAAGAATAAAATACCTAGGAATAATCCTACCTAGGGAGACAAAAGACCTATATGCAGAAAACTATAAGACACTGATGAAAGAAATTAAAGATGATACCAACAGATGGAGAGATATACCATGTTCTTGGATTGGAAGAATCAATATTATGAAAATGACTATACTGCCCAAAGCAATCTACAGATTCAATGTAATACCTATCAAATTACCAATGGCATTTTTTACAGAACTAGAACCAAAAATCTTAAAATTTGTATGGAGACACAAAAGACCCCGAATAGCCAAAGCATTCTTGAGGGAAAAAAACAGAGCTGGAGGAATCAGCCTCCCTGACTTAAGACTATACTGCAAAGCTACAGTAATCAAGACTATGGTACTGGCACAAAAACAGAAATTTATATCAATGGAACAGGATAGAAAGCCCAGAGCTAACCCACGTACCTAGGGTCAACTAATCTATGACAAAGGAGGCAAGGATATACAATGGAGAAAAGACAGTCTCTTCAATAAGTGGTGCTGGGAAAACTGGACAGCTACATGTAAAAGAATGAAATTAGAACACTCCCTAACACCATACACAAAAATAAACTAAAAACAAACAAAAAAATCAGTAAACTGAACATCTAGAACTTATTTCCAAAGCCACCTTTTAAAAAATACTTGAGATAAATTTTAAAGGACTTAAGAAAAATGCAAACTTTTGGCAAAATGTTTACATTAAGTAATAAATCCTTCATGGAAATGTACAACATGTTTGCTTCTTAAATTACTTTCTTTTAAAACTTAAAAATTACTAAGGATATATGCATGGTCACCAAAATTATGCCTTTTTCGACCCATTTGCTTAGGGAAGAGGTTATTATTATAAGCACTGCAGTAGTTTTCAATAATCAATCCCTGTTTTTGGGTCTGAAATATATTTCTGTAAAGATTTTTGAGCAGACTAGAACTTTTTCTCTTGTGCTCTGAAGTACACAGAATGCTATACTTTACCTGAACTTGAAATAGCCATAAAAATTAAAAAGTTGTTTTACACACTGTTATTAAAAAGTATAGGTCAAGTAAATGATTTTATAAACCATTATACTGACGTAGTTTTAATGCTAACTAGCTTCTTCTATATTACAGTATTTTGAAAATGGGTGAACCATGCTAACAAAAATATCTACTGAACCAGAACATGCCATTTCTCTATCTTCATGGTTTTCATCTTTGGCAGCAACATGGTGCAATAGGGGGAAGATTTTAGGGGTCAGGGAGATCTGGGCTTGAATCATGATTCCATCACTTAGTAGTAGTATGACTATAGATAAGTTATGTAACCACTTTCAGCTTTCATTTCATCCTCTGAAAAATGAAGATAGAGATGATAGTATTTACTTCAAGAAATTTCAAGTGAAGATTAAATCTAATAATGTGTATAAAGTACCAAGCATAGTAGCTATGCTTCAAATATGCTCAGTAAGTATTAGTTTGCCTTTACTCCTTCTAGACAGCCATTGAGTTATTCAATATTTATTTGCAAAACCAAAAAATGTATTTATAATAAAACCCTGGAAACCAATCTGGCATGAAATTAGTGAGACCATGATGGTTTGAAATCGTGTCTCCTTTAACCTTGAGTTTATTTCCTTTCTTCTGGAGTTCTTGTATTGGCGCTCTACCTCTGTCCTTCCATAATACTTTTGTTTTATATTTTTCTTTGATCTGAATATCGTTTTCTACTTATATTTTATGATTATTTTATTGTTTGTGTTCATGGTGTAAAACATCTGAAATATTTTATAGAAAAAAAAGTAGGACATAATTAAATCTAAAAACTATTTCTAATCTAAAATAAGAAATTACCTTTTTTTGTGATTCATTCAGTGATTTCATCCATCTATCTATATTACTTAAGGATCTCCTACTATATGCCAGACTCTCTTCCAGGCACTAAGCAAGTAATTCATAAAACAAAGCCTTTGACTTACAGGGTCTCATTTCTCCCTTGGCAAGGAGACTTAACATTACCCCTTCTATTTACAGATGAGAGAACTGAAACAGAGAAACTTGCCTCAAACAACACTGTTGGGGCAAATGAGGACCAAGCACTGACCTAAGCACTACTGCAACCATATCGTATCACCTGCTGCTTAAAACTATGGTGAGCTTTCTAACATAAATAAAACTCCATATATGAAGAACTACTGAAATCAGCATCCTGTAACACCTTAAAGACTTACAAGTATTAGTCAAATAAGTTGATCAGCTTCTGAAAAATGTAACTACATTTAATAATTCTGAAAATACTTTAAAGGGAAACTAATTATAAGTCTTAGATCAAGCAGTCAGATTTTTTCTTCCAATCAACACAAAACATAATTTTCAAAACCTTTAGAGATTACTAAAATTATGCTAAACAAGTATGCCAGAGAAAAGGCAAACAAAACAGTCGTATGTATACTTGGTAATCTGTGAAGTGGAAAACTGAGAATTTGGAAACTTAATGTTTCAGTGTGAAGGACAGATTTCCACGAATAGGCGTATTTTTACAATAGTGAAATTGCCAGAGGTGGATTTACCTGCAAGAGCCCACTCTCCTGTACCATGGGTGTGCCCACTGTAATACAAAACATACGTATCATGTCTAGGTCCATCCACAGTCCGAAGTTCAAGGAAAGCTTTCAGTTTGGAATGTAGAGTATCAAAGGACAGGCCACTTGTAGAATAGTCACATCCATAGGTCTCAATCATGTGATATGCAAAAAACCTTTGGATAGCATTGAGCATGCCAGTAGACCTCAAATTTAACTCCTGTACGTGTTCTGGTGGAAGAAGTGTTGGCTGACCATCAGGACTGAAGAAGGAGAAAAAAAGATCATTTTAGTGTTTATGAAGTGTTCATTCTATGTCACATTCCTATTCTTCATTTATAATAAATTATCTAAGAATCATAAGTGGCTAATTAAATGGCAGGATTTTTTTTAAGAAAAACATCTTTCCTAAATTTTCTACAGTGATAAGAATTAAGCTTGGAAAATCAAAGCCTAGTTTCTAAAAATTATATTTCTTATCAATAAAACTGGAAGCTGGGAGAATATCTCCAAATGTAGATAGTACCACTCTTCATTCTTTATTCATATCTTCTTACCAAATGACAGATATTAAACAAAACTTTAAAAAGCAAGACTGTACTAATTCTACCCCCAAAATGTTTCTAGAATACCTGGGTGGGGACAATAATGAAAGTACTTTTTTGAGAAAAAAATTTTAACAAAATATGGAAGCGATATTTTAAATTATATATTTAATTTCTGTGTTGAAAAAGATAGTCTTTATAAAGTTGTGTTCAAGTTTTACTAACTTAAGGTACATAAATGATAGAACTTACCTTTTAATAAATGACAGAACTTACCTTTTAATAAATGACATTTTAAAACAATTATTATGGACTTCCCTGGTGGCACAGTGGTTAAGAATCCGCCTGCCAATGCAGGGGACATGAGTTCGAGCCCTGGTCTGGGAAGATCCCACATGCCACGGAGCAACTAAGCCCACGTGCCACAAGTACTGAGCCTGCGCTCTAGAGCCCATGAGCCACAACTACTGAGCCCACGCGCTGCAACTACTGAAGCCCGCACACCCAGAGCCTGTGCTCTGCAATGAGAGAAGCCACTGCAATGAGAAGCCCGCGCACTGTAACAAAGAGTAGCCCCTGCTCGCCTCAACAAGAGAAAGCCCAGGTGCAGCAACGAAGACCCAACGCAGCCAAAAATGAATACATAAAATAAATAAATTTATTTTTAAAAAATTATTACTATTTAGGTCCACTGCCTTATATACTACTGAATACTAACTGAAGACTTAGACCTGATCCTGGAATACATGTAAAATGGTACTTTAGTAAAGATAATAAACCAAGTCTTAAAACTAGCAGAATCAAATCAATATTGAGGGAGAAAAAATTTATAACTCTTATCCAGAAAAGAGATTTCTAGTAGGAATTTTGAAAACTTTATATTTTGCTTCATGTATTATCAATACTATTCTATTAATTCTATAAAAGTTTTCATTAAAAGAACAAAACATTTTGTCCCTATCTGTATCATTTAACAGCCACAAAACAGCAAAAGAATAAAGCAATGCATAATCAAAAATTATAACAGAATAAAAATCTAACTGTGCAAATTACTACTTCCACATATTCTTCCTGCAGAGTTGTCACATCTTACTTTATGTGATCCTTCTAAACGTATTTCTTTTACTTCTCATGAGAATCTTCAACTTATATGTCAAGTCTTTAATATGGAGGAAATATTTACTATGTGTTTTTTATGTCAAATATTTGAAATCAGATAAAAAGTTCATTTCAAGCCCTCTCCCACCCCTGGCCAAGGAAAGTATGATGACTGCTTGGTCAACAGAATTCATTAATGGAAAGGAACTATTTTTTTCTACTTCAAAGGTACTTAACTACAAAAGAAAAACTAAAATTTGGCAATATTTACAGACTGAAACAGGTTTGCCATACATTTAGGGTCAAAAATATTTCCAAATAAAACTGCAATCAAATACTTAACTTCACTGCCAATGTTTTTGAATTCGTGGTATTTGTATGACACTTTCTAGTAGTGTTTTTACATTTATAGTCTCATTAGCTCTTCATAACATTTCTCTATATGGGCAGAATGGTATTGTTTGCATTTTAGATAAAGACACTGAGGTCCAGAGAAGTTATGATCTGCCTAAAGTAACACAGAACTAGAATTTAGAACACTGAGGTCCAGTGTACATTCTATTATACTTCACCATGTTGTTTCACATTTTCTTGAACAAGATATCCCTCTCTAAAGAAAGGGCAGGAACTTTACTTAGAAAATCCATTCATATTTTATGAAAATCCATTCATATTTTATGATTTTTAGCTAAAATATAAGCTAATCACATTTATCAAAAATAAAATTTTAATTGAACCCTGAAGATTGTATTATTACTCAGAGTAGATAAAGGTTTTTAAACATTTGGGATAAATGGAAAATAAAAAAGCAAGAGTATTATACTTTGAGAATATTATAGTTTTGAAAAAATGAGCTATCATCTTATACCAATATTAGCAAAATATTAAGAGTCAAGTAGCTATTACTTATTATACTAGGTTACTGTACCTGCAGAAGTTGGTGGGAATCACAATAGCATATCCAACAGATGTTCCTCCTAAACAGTTACCCAATTCATGGAAGAGGCCATGAGCCATAGATTCCAATGGCAAAACAATCAGAAACATGCTCAAGAAGATTCCATTTGTTGGCTAAAAAAAATTTAAAACAGCATGTTTACACAGAGTGTGTGACTGAACTTATATATGTGTATATGTATATATATTTACATAAATGCATATTCATTTTTGCCTCTACTTCCAAAAAGGATAAAAAGGATAATTAATGACCTAAAAATCGTTATAAGTTGAAAGAGATAAGTGTATACATGGATAAGCAATGAACCCTAAATTTACCTCTAAGCTGCTTGGAAGTCATGGCAAAACAAATACAGCACACTGCATTTTTATGATGTGCTGTATTTTTATGATGGGATGTCAAGTAACATCCCACTCAAGCTAAAAAACAAAACAAAAATATAACCACACCCTTGATATGACAGAGAAAAAGCCAGAAAACAAATCCTTTCCTGTTAAAACCCACATGCTCTAAATCATTTTACAAATAACACACTCATTTACTTTATCAGAAAAGGTACTTTAGAAAGGGCTTTTTTTTCCCCTGTGAAATGTCCAGAAATTAAGAGAAAATCTTAAACTGTAAGCTCCTTAAAGCTATCAAAATGAATTCCATTCTTAAATTAAACTTATAACAAACTTTTCCTTTGAAAAGCTCTAGACTATAAATTCAAAACTAAAAAAAAGTATATATATATATATATATATATATATATACACACATACATACATACATACATATAAAGACATATATTGAAGACATTTAAGCAGCCTAAAAACAGAATGGAAAAAGGGAGGCAGGAGACATATTAAGAGAAAACAAGATTTAAGTAGTATTTGCAATTAAAAGAAACAAACAAAAAATTAAAGGATCCATTTAAATGAAAAGGAAAAGGAAGGATGAGTCACTCAGAACTGACCTATATTTTTACAATACAGATAGTATCCCACATTTTTTGTGTTGCTACTGCACATATTACAGAGTTATGTGTCTATGTGCATGAATACAGTTTTCTAACACTAAGAAGTGGTTCATTTGATCGGAATTTCAATAAAAAAATAAAGCTGACTCCGATAATGGAAAAATGGATATAATGCCCTATTTTTGGTACATTCTGTGTTATCAGTTACATAAATAATACAGTACATGCTCAATTTAGAAACAATAGAAAATACAAATGAGTAAAACTACGATTAGAATAATTCCAAGTACCATCATCCACACACAGCTAACTTTTTAAAATATGTTCAGACATCATACAATATATATAAATATTCACAAATATTTAGTTTCTTACCAAAGTGCAATGATATATAATGTTCTGCAAACTTTTTAATATGTTAAAGCCCATTAATGTAATTCTAAATTATTTATAAGTATCAAATGGCATTACTATCATATTTATAAAATTTTAATTAGCTGATTTCCTATTTGTTGTATTTAGATTCCTTTTCCCCTATGATAAACAAAACCAGAATAAGTATGGAGTTCTCTGATTATTACTTATGTTAAATACCTTTGATCATTTTGGTTTCATCTTTGGTGAAGCATTTTGCCATGGGGCTGCCTTTCTGTCACTGATTTACAGTTTTATTTTGCTCTCAGTATATTTTAGATAAAAGTCTTTAGTTGGATACAAACAAATGGAGAGATATACCATGTTCTTGGATTGGAAGAATCAACATTGTGAAAATGACTCTACTACCCAAAGCAATCTACAGATTCAATGCAATCCCTATCAAACTACCAATTGCATTTTTCACAGAACTAGAACAAAAAATTTTACAATTTGTATGGAAACACAAAAGACCCCAATAACTAAAGCAATCTTGAGAAAGAAAAAGGGAGCTGGAGGAGTCAGCCTCTCTGACTTCAGACGATACTACAAAGCTACAGTAATCAAGACAGTATGGTACTGGCACAAAAAAAGAAATATAGATCAATGGAACAGGATAGAAAGCTCAAAGATAAACCCATGCACCTATATGACAAAGGAGGCAAGAATATACAATGGAGAAAAGACAGCATCTTCAATAAGTGGTGCTGGGAACACTAGACAGCTACATGTAAAAGACTGAAATTAGAACACTTCCTAACATCATACACAAAAATAAACTCAAAATGGATTAAAGACCTAAATGTAAGGCCAGACACTATAAAACTCTTAGGGGAAAACACAGGCAGAACACTCTAGGACATAAATCACAGCAAGATCCTTTTGACCCACCTTCTAGAGAAACGGAAATAAAAACAAAAATAAACAAATGGGACCTAATGAAGCTTAAAAGCTTTTGCACAGCAAAGGAAACCATAAACAAGACGAAAAGACAACCCTCAGAATGGGAGAAAATATTTGCAAACGAAGCAACTGAGAAAGGATTACTCTCCAAAATATACAAGCAGCTCACATAGCTCAATATCAAAAAAAACAAACCTAATCCAAAACTGGGCACAAAACCTAAAAGGACATTTCTCCAAAGAAGACATATACAGATTGCCAACAAACACATGAAAAGATGCTCAACATCACTAATCATTAGAGAAATGCAAATGAAAATCACAGTGAGGTATCACCTCACACCAGTCAGAATGGCCATTATCAAAAAATCTAGAAACAATAAATGCTGGAGAGGGTGTGAAGAAAAGGGAACCTTCCTGCACTGTTGGCAGGAACGTAAGTTGATACAGCCACTATGGAGAACACTATGGAGGTTCCTTAAAAAACTAAAAGTAGAACTACCATATGACCCAGCCATCCCACTACTGGGCATATACCCTGAGAAAACCATAATTCAAAAAGAGACATGTACCACAATGTTCACTGCAGCATATTTACAAAAGCCAGGACATGGAAGCAACCTAAGTGTCCATCGACAGATGAATGGATAAAGAAGATATGGCACATATATACAATGGAATATTACTCAGCCATAAAAAGGAGTGAAACTGAGTTATTCGTAGTGAGGTGGATAGACCTAGAGTCTGTCATACAGAGTGAAGTAAGTCAGAAAGAGAAATACAAATACCGTACGCTAATGTATATATATGGAATCTAGAAAAATGGTACTGATGAACCTAGTGGCAGGGCAGGAATAAAGCGCAGACGTAGAGAATGGACTTGAGGACACAGGGAGTGGGAAGGGTAAACTGGGACGAAGTGAGAGAGTGGCATGGACTTACATATACTACCAAATGTAAAATAGATAGCTAGTGGGAAGCAGCCACATAGCACAGGGAGATCAGCTCGGTGCTTTGTGATGACCTAGAGAGGTGGGATAGGGAGTGTGGGAGAGAGGCTCCAGAGGGAGGGGATATGGGTAATACGTATACATATAGCTGATTCACTTTGTTGTACAGCAGAAACTAACACAACATTGTCAAGCAATTAATTAATGTAATGTAAAGTAATTAAGTAATGTAAAGCAATTACTCCAATAAAGATGTATAAAAAAAAGTCTTTAGTTGGTTGTATTGCAAATACCTTTCCCTCTGTGACTGTTAATGCTGTTTTTTGCTTAACTTAAGTTCTTAAGTGTAACATAGTCATTTTGTGTCTTGTTAAATCTTCTCCACCCACATAAAAGTCAAGAAGGTATTGTACATTATCCTCTAAAGGCTTTGTTGTTTTGCACTTTGCTTTTAGGTCTATAATCCAAATGTAGTTATTTTCATAATAACAGTCCAAATTAAGTTTTTTATGTGAACACCCAATTATCTAATTACTAATTATTGAAAATCTCAACCATTCCACATTACTGTGCCATCTTTGTCATAAATCAAGTATTCTGGTATCTACTTTTATACTCTTATGTTCCACTGGCCTATCTGTCTATCCTTTCAAATATTTCCTTTTGCCTACATTTCCTCCTTTATTTCTGGGACTCCAGTAAAACACAGATGATATCTCTCTGTATCCTCAATGAGTCTTATCCTTTTCTCTGTATAGTATTTTCTCTATTTTTCCTCTTTAAGCTCCTTCTTTCATAGCTTCATCTGAACTATATTTTCCAGTTCACTAATGCTCACTTCTCATTTGTCTAATCTGTTAAACTAGCACACTGAATGAATTTCAGATATTTTATTTTCTGATTCTAAAACCTGTCTAGTTCTTTATCAAATCTGCCTTGTCACTTTCTTATAATTTCTAACTTCCTACCATTATGTATTATCTTTGCTTTTTTTTCAACTTGCTAAGGATGATGGCTTTCTTTGTTTGATAATTCCAATATCTCAAGACTTTTTGGTCTGCCTGTTGTCTGTTGGTTCTGCTGCTTCTTGCTCTCAATGCCATGTGAGTGTGTGTGTGTGTGTGCATCTGGTTTATTTATGAGCTGAACACTGTATGCAAAAAAACTATTATATGATTAATTTTGGACCTAGGATAATTAGACCTTCTCTAAGAGGATGTTTGTTTCTTCCAGGATGCTGGGGGTTATTAACAGTCTACATATCTTAATCCAGGTTTGACCACTTAATCCAGGTTGGATCACTAATAGGATACAATGTCAGGAGGCAAATTCGTTAAAGGATGTAATGTACATATTAAAAAATATATTTCCGCTATAAACACCATTTCTTCTCATACAACTTATGTATGTCCAAGAGAATTTACATAGTTTGTATATTGGTTGGGTTAATGATAACTATCAGTGAGCACAATTACCATTTTTTGACATAGCTTACAACTTAAAAGATGCAACAATTCTCACAACTATTACTACAGCAACTTCAACTGCTTTTTCAGTTAACTCTTAGGTTTAACGGGTAATCATCTTATCTACAAATATTGATAATTTCATTATTTTCAATTCCTATACCTTCTATTACATATGTTGCTCCATTATAATAGAAAATGCTTTGATCAGTTAAACCCTTATTCACATAAAAGTGGATAGGGAACTTTTAGATATGGATGGCCAACTGTACTACACCATAAATATAAGGGACTTGAGCAACTGCGAATTTTGGTATTCACAGGGGGTACTGGAACCAATCCCCTGTGGATATCGAGGGAGGACTGTACATTCAAATTATGTCAGCCATTTATATAAAATAATTATTGGTGGGGTGATCA